CCATCCATCCATCCATCCATCCATCCCCCCACCTGCCCACCCCAGCTATTGCTACAGACAGATTACATGATCACTAACCCTATGACTTGGGATTGGCCGACTAGTTCTTCTCTGTGAACTTGGTTCATGCTGAATTGATAAATCTAACGTGGTTCCAAGTTCTATTACTGCAGGTGGTCTCTGTCAAAAAAATGTGATAATAACTTGTATTATTAATTGACTACCCTATACTTTGAATGGAAATATGGCAAACAATTTTAATGACTATTGTRTAGTTCCAGAAAATATCCATACCCCCTCCATCAAGGGAATTTGTCAAAGGACCCCCTACCCCCAGGAACTTCCAATTTTCTTCAATACAAACTCTGCAATTTTGTTCTTTCTCTGACCCCCCTCCCCTCCAGAATTCCCAATTTACTCTGTCGGTGGGGTATGGATATTTTCTGAAATATGCTCTGGACTGACTAGCCTCGTGTTCACCTGGAATTTAAAGAAAAGCATTTTTACATGTAAGAGAGACTCTAGTTATTCAAATTATTGGTCACAAAATTCGATTTTGGTATACACTGATTCCAATAAAGTTAGTCACCTGAAAAGCTACAAAGCTGAGACCTGCAAGGATTATGGGTAGATACATTTTACATGTTTCAACTGCTTTAATAACTATTGAGGGATTTTAGATCTTTTACCATTTACAGTCTCACCTCTTCTGAGCATCCTCAAGCTGCAAATCGTATCATAAGCTTTGCTTGTTTAATATTAAAAAATTCCCATGATCCTCAGTGATCTCAGCTTTCTAGGTTTTTTGGTGACTAACTTTATTGAAATAAGTGTATATAACTTAAATTATGAACATAAAAGGTACATAATTGAGGTACACCAACCTGTCTCGGAGGATTCCTTTTAGAACAGTTACAACCATGTGAAATGGTAAATCTAAAACATATAAATATGGCTTTCATACTGACGATAAATGCTATTGCAGTTAGGGTTAAGAAGGATCCATAAGATAGAGTCCATGAGATGGTTTCATTGCCAGATTGCATCTGAGGCATCAAACACCAGAAGATTATGACTGATCCACCAACACAGAACACAGAAAACATCATGAAAAATATGATCTGAAAAAATAAATATTGATATTATAATTTTATTCTATGATAAAAGAAACAGAAAGTGTGCACACAGTATGTGTTGCGTGCAGTTATTTAAGGCATATAACAGAACATGATGGTCAATCAGTCCCGGTGGGAGGACTCCGGGAAAAAAGTACTGGGGATGCTCGTCGGAAATTTTCAAAAAGACCCCTAAAAGATATGGGAAGTCTTTAAAAAAGGGTGTGGCTGAATGATTTATAACCCCTAAGAGATACCACAACAAATAATATTAAATTTTATATAAAAAGCACCTAGGATAAGCCATATTGATGCGCGCTTCTCTCCTTTTCCGACACCCTAAGAGATACCAGAAAATACTGATTTTCAAAAATTTGCATTTAACACCCTAAAAGATACCAAATCGCGAATTTTCACCCCTAAGAGATACGACGGGCATCCCTGGTACTTTTTTCCCCCGGAGTCCCCCCCCCCTGGGCAATCAGTCATTCAGCAAGATTTGACCAGACATGTTCCAGTTCTGGCAGGACATTGGAATACTGGTTTAATAGGAAAGTGCACGAGCACGAATCTCTAGCACAAAGCATGATGGGAAACAGAATACTACACAAATTAGAACAAAGAAATCAATAAGATAATCAGAAAAAAAATACTATTTCATTTTCGTCTGTTGAAATACTTACTGTTTCATAGGAAATGTCAAAGGAAAAATTGTCAGAGTAATTTTTATAGAAGCTGAAAAACTGTAAGTACTCGGTTTCCTATCATGCTTTGTGCTAGGGATTCATGCTCGTGCACATTGGCTATTCTTAATTCTTATAGACTCTGTGACACACATATGAGTAGAGTTTTTCACCAGGTTCTCCAGATGAGTGTCCTTCCTCTAAATTCTAATTGGAGTTCAGTGGAAAAAAGCCACTCTGTCAAACTACTTTTAGTAAAATCCCTCTTTTATCATTATTATTATTTTACCCTTATTTGCTGGGTGACATAATTATTTATTTTCACTTACCATGCATTTTCTTGGATTTTTGAAGCTTAGAACTCCTAGCCCTCCTGTTATGACAAACTTGAAAACAAAACAACTATTAGTACTTCATTCAAGAAATATTTTTATCAAAACATCAAGAAAGATGTTTGAACAGGGTAGCTGGACACATGGATCCATAGTAACCCAACTCTAGTTGGATTACTCTAGAATCTTTTCTGTAAGAGGAGTGTGATTAGGAAGCATATGATGACTTACAGTATGTACATGGTACACTTAGTAGAAACGGCTTTAGAATGGTTCCTACATGATTGGGAAACATACAGTACTGTTTTACAGCATAACTAATCTCTGGTCAGCTCTGCGCTGCTTAAGACTGCGCCAACCAAGCTCTTCCAACATCGCGGTGTACTTATCAAAAATTGTTAACCTTAAAAATTAGAACCCAAAAACTTGTATGTATTATAAATACAGCAACTGGATTTTTTAAATATTAAAAAATTAAAGTAAGAGAAACCTTTAGCGTTAAGGTGATGATAACTTTTAAGCTAAGCTCCCTGGAGAATTTCTGGAATTCAAAAACTGTTTTTGTTGCCCTTGACTGCAGAATCTCTCTATCAACTATGCAAATCTTTTAACATATAAACTGAAGTGTTTGCAAAATTTGTAAACAACCCATGAAAAAACTACCTTCTTGGCGTAATAATGATTTTAGCTCACATGAGCTTAAAACTAGATTTTGTTTCAGCATTTTAGAACTACGAATGTAATTTAAACTCTTTCACCTCCAATAAACAACAATGAAGCCACAAAACTTAATAAATTTATGTAAAGTAAGATAAATTTAAACGAATCAAGCATTCTTCAGTCTTTTCGAACGCTTGGTGTCTCAAAGCAGCTGCAATTTTTAAAAACACAGCTTCAGCTAATACGGTCAGAAAATAGCCATAAAAAAACGCTTTTCTACGGCTCAGCCATGCAAATCAGCTACACAGCTTGATAGAATAAAGTTATTACTGATTTTAGCAGTAGAGGTTAGAATATAGTAGCAAAATCTTTTGTATGCCAGCTTAAAGTGAAGGAAGGTTCTCACGAAGTACAAAATATCTCTGATACTTACAAGGATTCCCGCCCAGACTGGAAGCCCCTCGGGTTTGAATTCCGTAAAGACGGAATGGTCATCATTTCTAGTGCTAAACGCTCCAATTCCTATACTTATCAATCCACAAATAATATCAACAATGCCAATATGAAGTGCTGCTTTGGTGGAATAAAATACTTCCGCCATGTTTTGACGGTACGTGATATTGTCAAGGCACTCTCTCGCACCTTCCCATCAATCAATGCCTGCTTGACATTGAAAAAACCACGAACTTATTACTGGATTGCCTGTGACAGCCCAGACGTAAAATGCCTTTTGTTTTCTTTCTTTCTTTCTTTTTTTTTTTTAGCTGTGGCAGCCCAATCGTAAAATGCCTTTGTTTTTCGTTTTCTTTTTATATTTTTTCTTTTTTTTTTTTGTGAAAATGTTGTAGCCGAGACTTCAAAAGATTTTGTAATCATAGTAAGTTGTTTTCGTTAGGTATAAATCCCTAAACTAGAATTTTCTTTTCTTTTTTTCTTTTTAATAAAGTGGACTGAAGAGGTTGTATATATAACGAAACTAGTTTCCACTGAATATTTATTTGTCGTTTTGGCGTACGAAAAAAATAATAATTCTAGTTAGGGATTCATACCTAACGAAAACAACTTACTATTATTTTTTCGGTCTTCTCCATTTCGCGAAAAATGCATCGTTGCGCAAGAGTACCCATATATGGATTTGAATGACGTGCTCCTCTTTTACTCCGACGAAGGACTAGCGTCCAAAACGTTAGTAAGTTTTTTCATATCTTTTCACGATGTAAATGTTACCCTATTATCAATATAATACATTAGAAACACCGACGCACCTCACACTAGTTTTTAGCTAGTTATCTATTCTTGAYGTGTTCATGGATTAATGGCTCATAGATTGGCTTAGAAGCTGAGCCAATGTAATTCCGGGCTTTAGAAGTAATATAATTGAGCAGTAAAAGAAGGATTGCAATTCAGATATCTATTAGCTTTAATACAGCTACTCAGTCGGCAGTTTTCTGGTTTCAATCGAGTGGGTTAGTGGAGCCCAAAAGGAAACACGCTTCACACGCTTCAGAAGGACGGCTTCTTATGTCCATGTGATTTCTAAAATAAACTTA